TTTTGGAGACAGAGTCTCGCTCTGTCATCCAGGCTGGAGTGCAGTGGCACAATCTGATCTCGGCTCACTGCAACCTCCACCTCCCAGGTTCAAGCATTTCTCTGCCTCACCCTCCTGAGTAGCTGGGATTACAGGTATGCGCCACCATGCCCAGCTAGTTTTTGTATTTTTAGTAGAGACAGGGTTTCACCATGTTGGCCATGCTGGTCTTGAACTCCTGACCTCGTGGTCTACCCTCCTTGGCCTCCCAAAGTGCTGGGATTACAGGTGCCTGGCCTCTCCTTTTAAAAATGATTTACTTCAGCCCTTTTCCTTGCAGAACATGTGTCTTTAGTGTCTGTTCTTTTATTACACTCTGTCTCTATTGTCAGCATATTTAGTGACAACTTCCTCCTTAGTAGTTGTGTGTAGATTTCAATCATCAGTCATTGCCTTACAAGGTTTATTCTTATTTTTCTCTCTTTCTTGGAAGGAGCTGAATTAATATGATAATTTATTTCAGCTTTTTTATAAACAATATAGAAGTTGCTTGTACTGTTTGCAGTGTCTGCCCATTTAAATAAGATACCACTAAAAACTAAGTTCTCACATTTTCCCTGTAAGACATAATTTATGCAAATACACAACATATAATTACATATTTAATTTATATTTCTTAATAAATTAGTTTTTTCAGTAATACTCAAAACTCCCTATGGCTAAGTTTTGTTCTAGGTTATTTTGGTTAAGAAAATAATCTAATTGATATAGTATTTGTATAATAATGAACTAGTGGCAAAAGAGTAACATTTTGAGGATATCTGTATCATCTCTCATAATCCTCACCCCATGAGAACATGTACATTAGTAAATGACAGATTTAAGGTTTGAATCTATTAATACATGAGGGACTCTAAAACCTGTATTATTTGTGTTAGATCATATAGTACTGGTGAATATTATAATTATTTTATCAAACTTGATACATGTCATTCTCTTAAAGCTATTGTTTTCTTTTCAGAATGTTCCGAAACAACACTTAACCAAGCAAAGAACTATTTCTCAAAAAACAGTCTCCTCAATGAGGAATGATGGTAAGCTATCTGAAGACTACCTATTCTTGTGTTATTCATTGACTCTTAATTACAATTTTTTATATACTCTTTCCTTTAATTTTAGTGAAAACGTATGTCACTGTGAGAACAAGAAATATAACTTTGTTTGAAGGCAGCAGTTCTGACAGCAAAAATGAAGATGGGGATAAAATCCATCCTAAAATCATCAATGTTCATCCTTGTCGACCTACTCACCCTGGTCTGAAACCTTCCCTCAATCCTATTGTGAGCCCTGGTGTTACAAAGGTACATTGTTTCTTTTTAAAATCTTTCCCCTCCCCATGCTTTTTTCAGATACCATTCCCTCAATCTTCATAATGAGGACAGGGATCCTAGAAAGAAATGCAAGTCCTCAAGATCGGATGGATTACAATCTCTAGTCCTTCACCCTCAAATGCTTGCCTTGTATATTAGAATTAATATTCTTTCCACCTGGCCCATTTTGCAAACCATAGCTTTCTCTGAAACATTTTTTTTTAAATCCCCTTTGCTATATTTCTGCTGAAAGAACATGTGAAATGGCTCTCACCTGCCCTATATGTCAGTTATTACTACTCTCTCAGGATCTGAATTTATGCTCTGATCTCTTATATACATTTAGCACACAAGTCTACTATAGATTTAGTTCAATGTAGTTCAAATTTGACCGCCTCGTTCTGTGAGTTGGACAGTAAATTGTGTATGTATTTGTATAATTGCAAAAAAAAAAAACAAAAAACAAGTGTAACAACTACGGAGATAGATGCATGGGTTTAAGGTTTATGAAAAGAGATGGGAATAGACAGTTCTTAGGTTTGCCTTTATGAAAGGAAATAAATAATAAGCAACCCAAAAGAACAGCTCAAAATGAGCTGGGCACAGTGGGTCACGCCTGTAATCCTAACACTGGGAGGCCAAGGTGGGCAGATCACCTGAGCTCAGGAGTTCGAGACCAGCCTGGGCAACATGGTGAAACCCTGCCTTTACTAATAAGCAAAAAAATTAGCCAGGCATGATGGCACATGCCTATAGTCTCAGCTACTCAGGAGGCTGAGGCATGAGAATTGCTTGAACCCAGGAATTAGAGGTTGCAGTGAGCCAAGATCATATCACTGCACTCCAGCTTGGATAACAGCACTAGACTCTGTCTCCAAAAAAAACCAAGAATTAAATCTTTCCATGCAATTCAAAAATGCATTGTCATAATGTTCCAGAAATAAGCATCTGCATAAATTAATTAAGGAATATTTTATGCTCCTGAAAAAATGTGGAAATAAATATATAATTGAAAAGTGGAATTCCATGATTTTCCCTCCTCATGTTAGTGTATTTTACAAATATTTATCGATACTGTATCCTTTTCCTGAGTAAGGTTATTTACTTCTATTCCAAATGGATTTATCCCAATCTGTCTTCTAAGGCTCCTGGGTGCCTCAAATTTTATAGGTCCTAAACTGAACACATTGTTCTTGATTCTTTCCTGACTACTGCCCTTTGTAATCTACTCTGTCATCTGGCTTCCCCCTCCTAGTACATAACACCTGGTAAATAGCACTGAAACATTGAAAAAGGGAAATCCTGCACTCCAGTTCTCACATCACCAATGTATTCACTTACCAAGTTCTGTATTTTAACCTGCTTACCACTTTTCATATCTTATTACTGTAGTTCACTTTGTGACCTGTATTTCTAGAATACTCTTTTGTAGTTTGGTCCCTGCCTCACCACTTTCATTTGCTTTTACATTGCTGCCAGGATGACCTTCCCAAAATATATTTGTGATGATCTTAACTCGTCTGCTCATTGAGTGGATCCCCATTACATGAAGGGGGAATTTTACATTCCAGCATTACATATATCTTTTGTAGTTTGGCCTGGTTTTCCTGCTTTCTCTCTCCACCCCATTCCCTCTGACTGCATTCCAGTAAAACTGGAGAAAGCAGGAAAACCAGGCCAAAAAAAACAATGCCCATCCTGCCTTATCTAGAAACCCTTTATACCCTCAATCTTCACTTTGTCAGTCTCAAAATATGGCCCTGATTTTTCAACATTTATGGAGCTTTCCAAGTAGAATTGACTATTCTCTCTTAATGCCCTCACCATATTTCATTGATTTAAATTGTAGACCTGGTGTTATATGTTTGTTCTTCCTGCTTTTCATATATCTCTATCCCCACTTGAATATAGGGTGGAATCTGTCTTTTGTTTATATTTTCAGCTTTTCTCAGGAAATGCCATGATTTTACACGCACGGTGAATAAAGAAATACAATGGTTTCTAAAATGTTTTTGTTTTTGTTTTTATAGGAGGAAGCAACAAAACTACCAACTGGAAAAAAAGAAAACGGTATTATTTAAAGTGCTCCATGAGAGCAAACAAATTATAATAATTTTTTGTGCGTACAAAAATCAGAGGTAGTAAGTTAGTGAATAGCTTTGAAAAAAAATATATTTGCTTAAATCCTATTACTAAAAAAAAAAGAAGAAGAAAACACCAAATGTGGCAGCTCATGCCTATAATCCCAGCATTTGGGAGGTCAATGTAGGCAAATCACTTGTGCCCAGGATTTTCGGACTTGCCTGGGCAACATGGCAAAACCTGGGCTCTGCTTTAAAAAAAAAAGCTACAAAAATTAGCTGAATATGATAGCACAGGTCTGTAGTCCCAGCTACTTGGCAGGCTGAGGTGAGAGGATCACTTTAGCTGAGGAGGTTGAAGCTGCAATGACCTGTGATCATATCACTACATTCTGGGTAACAGAGCAAGACCTCCCAAAAAAAGAAAAAAAAAAAAAACCAAAGTCACAGACCCAAAAATCATATCTTTTTTGCTATTTTTCTCATATTACAATCTCCCTTTTCCTGAAACTACATCAAACCTGAAATTTTTTCCTATTATTTTTATTTTATTTAAATATTCATGAATGGAGATAGACTTTACATATGTATTTGAAATTTTACAGTAACTAATAGTGTCATGAATGTATCTGTGACTAACATTTTATAGACAAGAAGTCTGCATCAGGATCAGGAGAAGAGGAAGACATAGGGTCACCCTCGAGGTCTAAGGTACTGTCTACTGTTGTAAGTATCAAGTCATGTTAAATCATAAAATAGGATGTTTGGGCTTTACTTTCTCACCTGTCCATACACCCATAAAGGAATTATTTTCTCACCTATCAGTGTATAATGAATACAATAAATATGTGCTAAGTCGATTACTGCTGCATATATAATTCTGCTAATTTGCAGAATTCATTTAAGAAGCCAGTGTAGTATAGTTTAAATATATATATATATATATATATATATATATATATATATATGGAATGACTTTGGGTTCTGAAGATAAGTTTGTCTAAACACTAAAAAATTATTCCAGATCAACCTAGGAGCAAATGTTATGATTCCATGGTATATCTGAATGTGTAAATATCCCAATGAGATGCAGAGATAAAGTGGTTAAACTGTAGGGGTTTTTTTTGTTTTTTTTACAACTTGGAACTTGAAAAGATAATGCCTAGGACTTGAAGGTATTGATATGTTTTGCTCATCAGTGTAAACCTACAAAGAACATTTTCTGAGAAGGAAAAGCATGGGAAATAGTATATGTGTGGAAGTATAAAAACAACAATTTGGTTTAATAGTGTTTTAGTTCTTTTTAATAATAGAATGCAGTGAGTTTCTTTGTGGCAGCCATGCTTGTAGTAACATAAGTTAAAAATAATAATGATATATTTCAAGGCAACAACTGTGAAAAGAGATGAGAATGGCCTGACCTCTTAGGTAGAAGCAGCTGGTACGTAGTGGTACCAGCACTGATTGGAAGTCAAAAGATATGTTAGTATCCTGGTCCTGTCACTTATTAGCTATGGAATCTTGGGAAAATTTATTTAACTAATTTGAATGTCAGTGACCTTTTTCATAAAGACAGTATTAATATCTATCTCATAGGTATGCATAATGTACAAATGTGGTAAGAAATGTGAAAATAATTTGTAAACTGGAATATGTACATACAAATATGAGACAAAATGAATCACAGTGAGATTCAGTGCCTTAATACATACTGTGAGTCTTTTTTTTAACCTATAGTCAATACTGTCAATTAGTCAATACTGTCAAGTAATCACTACTGTCAGGAGAACAATGAGAAAGTATAGCATAGGTATGTGGATTTCCAGTTTGAAGTAAAGTTTTAGTAGTCTAATACTAGTGATATCCTATGGGAATAGAGTGATTTGACATTCAAGACCTCCTGATAAGATTTTAAATATTTTGACCTTGAATAAATTTATGTCATTGTGTACTGTGTGCTAGGCAGTTATACACTGAATACACAAGATGAGGGCTTATCCTAGAGTAGTAGGAACACAAAAACAAAGAAACAACAAACACATAAGTCACTACAAGTGCTTCCTATGAAAAAAACAGAAAATGTTCCATTACAGGAAATTGAGGAAGTTTGTAGTTAGGATTGGGATGGGAGTGGGAGTAGAATTGTGTAGTCAGAGAAGATCTGTCCGGGTGCCATTTAAGCTGCCAGCTAGAGGCTGAGAAGAAGAAAGCCATGTGAAAATCTAAAAGGAAGATGTTCTGGACAGAGAGAAAAATGGATTATAATTGTTCATCATTTTGCTTTTAACATCCTCAAAAGACCAGGAAGCAGAAAGTGGGGCAACCATCATCATCATCATCATTTTTAATGTGTAGGAAAGAAAATGTGCAAATGAGAATCTGGAACATTTTAGATGCTTTGTGAATAAATGTTCTTATTCTTCCCTTTTATTAAGGCTTGCTCTAGGTTTTTAAGTTATTTCTTAAATGGAAAAGAGTGGCAGAGTATATCTAATATTTGCTTGCTTTTATTTAAACATAACATAAACAAAAGTTTTTTTTTTACTACTTTGACATTTTATTCAACCATTTTTATATCAGTAAAAATTTTTTCAAGAAATACTTTAATTTTATCAGGCCCTTGTTTGCCTAAATGAAACAGCTTCATCAGTGTTCTGTTTATACACAACCTGGAGTACTCCAAAGTTTCTTATGCCAGTTATCTTCTTTTAATAAAAAAATTCTATAATTGGGAATATTTTAAATGTTAAATGCTGTAATATAGCAAATGTATTTTTATAATGCCCTCTTTTGATGGAGATTGCAAATTAGAGTTAGGTCTTTTGAAGTGAGTGACTTGTTGAAATATGCACGTAAGTTAATACTTCGCCCGTAAATAGGTTTCCTTTTGCCTTCCATACCCAGTTTTACAGAGTCAATAGCCTAATGAAGATAAAAGATAAGCTCCATCTAAAAAGCATATGTGAGGTTCTCTATTGAAATGTTTTGGTTTCCAGACTGGGCACAGTGGCTCATGCCTGTAATCCCAGCACTTGGGAGGTCAATGCAATTGGATCACTTAAAGTCAGAAGTTTGAGACCAGTCTAGTCAACATGATGAAAACTCCATCTCTACTAAAAGTGCAAAAATTAGCTGAGCACAGTGGCATGAGCCTGTAATCCCAGCTCCTCAGGAGGCGGAGGCAGAACAATCGCTCAAACCTGGGAGGCAGAGATTGAAGTGAGCTGAGATCATGCCATTGCACTCCAATCTGGGCTCTCAGAAAAAAAGCAAAGCGAAGAAAAGAAAAGAAATGTTTTGGTTTTCAATACCTGCTTCTCTTATTTTTAAGTCTAATTGCTTTAAATATAGGAAATTTGGATTTTTAAAATAAGCGATTAGGAAATCTTTATGCAACTAATTATTGTTATTTTGTATTGAAACTCATTGTTGATATTAATTTTAACAGAGTATCTCGAAGACTGTTCTCCAGATGCATGGTGGTCATTCATCTGGGCCTGTTGATCAGCAGAGGAAAAATGCAGTAAATGGAAATGTAGATGGTAATAAACATATTTTATTTTTAAAAACATTTTACATAATGTTTATTTGAAAACACTGTCACTGATGTAGTATAACAAGCAAAGGAAGATCACTTACTAAATGTACAGTAAGAAAAGTGAAAGGTGATACGTTTTCTATATTAACACACATATACAAGAGAGTAAATTGAGAATGCCACTAAAGGAGTTTAATTAATAGCTCCATTTCAAGATACTCCAAGATCTGAGGAAAGTCAGGAAATAAGAAGAAAGAAGAGGAGGGAATGAAGAATGAGAAAGGCAGTGAGTACAGGGAGTAAATGAAAGAAACAGAAGGTTCATATAATGGAAGGTGGCAAACCCAATAATTCCTTAGAAAAAGGAAGAAAAGGGTTTTAGAAAAGTGGAAAGAATATGTAGTGGGCTTCTAGCACCAAAGCTTGTCGGAGAATTAGAGCAAAATTTTTAATTCTTCCTGTCTTCCTCTTTGATGGAAGTACCTGACCAGGCAGAGCTATGTTTTATCTACCTCATGTGAATGTAAGCATATATGGTCATCTATGCATGCATACAATTTGATGTCATATGCAGTCAATATGGAACAGAACTTCTCACACTTCAATAAATCATCTTGGGGACTTCTTAAAATGCACATTCTGATTCAGCAGGCCTGGGATTCTGCATTTCTATTAAGTTTTCAGGTGATGCTGATGCTGCTGGTCCTCAAGCCATGCTCTGATTGGCAAGATTATAGACTTTTTTCTATATAGAAATTGGAAAGAAGAGCCACTGGGGACCAGTTCAATAATAACAGGCTTAGAGGACAGCATGATTTGGCTTTTATTTCAGGTCATGTTTTTAGCCAGAGAGGAAGTAGAAAGAGATGAAGAAATAGAAATTATAGATGTAAGATACTATTGCTAAAATAAGAGGGGAGACTTGGTGGGAGTAATCCATAAAAAAATGTAGAATGGGAAGAACCAAGACCACAGATGTAGAAATTTTCACAAGGTAGATGGATTATAAGCAAGGATGAGGGGGAAAGAAAGAAATTAGCTAGATAAATTTGAATTTTCTGATGAGAAAGTGTATATCCATCCACATCATTGCAAATGACAGGATCTCATTCTTTATTATGGCTAGACAGTACTCTATTGTGTATATGTACATTTTCTTTGTCCATTTGTTGGTGTACAAATAAATTGCTTTTAAATCTTGGCTATTGTGAAGAGTGCTGTGATAAACATAAGAAGGCAGACATCTCTTCAATTTACTAATTCCCCTGCTTTTTAGTATATGCCTAGCAACAGGATTGCTGGATCAGATGGTAGTTTTATTTTTAGTTTTAGGGTTTTTTTTTTCTTTTAGACAGAAGCAAAAAAAATATGCCTCCTGGTCTCAAGCAATTCTCGCACATCAGCCTCCCAAGTAGCTGGGACCACAGGTGTGTACCACCATGCCTGCCTAATTTTTTTCATTCTTAGTACAGATAGGATTTCACCCTATGGCCAGGCTGGTCTCAAACTCCTATGCTCAAGCAATCCTCTTGCTTTGGTGTCCCATACTTCTGGTATTACAGATGTGAACCCCCACACCTGGCCTATTTTTAGTTTTTGAGGACTCTCCACTGTACTCTCCATAGTGGTTGTAGTAATTTACATGCCCACATGTATGAACGTTCCCCTTTCTCCACATCTTCGTCAGCATTACAACCCGTCATTTGGATAAAAGCCATTTTAACTGAGGTGGTGTGATGATATCTCACCATCATTTTGATTTGCATTTATCTTTTGATCAGTGCTGTTGAGCACCCATCCATGTATCTATTTACCATTGGATTGCTATTGGATAGCAGTTCACGACATAACAGGACCAAGGGAAAGTGTTGTTTTGCTTTTATTTCTGAATATGTTTCCAGCCAGAGGGTAAGATTATGAAATAGAAATTATTGATGTGAGATACTACTACCTCATGAAGAGGAAAGAAGTGATGGGCATAATCCAGGAGACATGTATGCAAGGAGAAGGAAGACCACAAATTGAGAGGCTTTTCCAATGACAAGGGGATTGTGAAGGGGGAATGTGAGAAGAAAGAAATAAGCTATCTCAGTAGTTTTAGAGTTAGTGATGAGGACACTTGAGAGAAGTCAATTCAGATGGCTTTAGTATGTTTGCACTCAGGACATTAGATTATCACTGCCCTTGAAATTACTGGAAGGAGGAGGGAGTGCAAGAATTGGGGTAAACCACAGCAACTCATTGCTGCACTTTATATCACACATCAAAGATATAGGTTAAATTTATATTAGGTAATCAAATGGAATTCATTTGAACAAAAGACCTTTCACTGTTTTTGTTAAGAAAGCTATGTTTTAAAAAAAAAAAAAAAGAAAGAAAGCTATGTTTTAATTAGATACCTGTTCCATAAAAATACTTTAAAGACTAGCATGGTATACCCAATCATAGTAATTTCAGAAACAAAAAGTATAGGATTTATTCCTTGAATAACAAAACTAATGTTTTCAATAGACATTGAACTGATTTTGAAACATAAAAGTTTATTATAATGAATGTGAAATTTTTATTTTTGCAATACATATTTACACATTGAAAGCTGCTTATACATTATTTTGTGATGCGTTTAATATACCATCTTGCATGAGTGGATCAATAAACTTTGAGACAAGGCCAAACTACAGTATGCAAGCAAGAAGAAGAGAAAACCAAAGACTGCATGTTCTCACTCGTAAGTGGGTGATGAACAATGAGAATACATGGATACATGGAAGGGAACATCACACACTGGGGCCTGTTGGAGGATTAGGGGATGGGTAGGGGGATAACACAGGTTGGGGAGATTGGGGAGCATTAGGAGAAATTCCTAATGTAGATGATGGGTTGATGGGTACAGTAAACCACCATGGCCCATATATATCTATGTCACAAACCTGCATAATCTGCACATGTACCTCAGAACTGAAAGTATAATTTTTAAAAAATTTTGTCAGAATAATAGAAGAAAACATTTGGGTATCAAGAACAAAGTGTAAACTAATGAAGGGGTAAAAAGAAAGTCACATTGGAAATTATTAGTACTAAATAGTAGACAGTAAAGGAAAATATACAGTGTTACTTTACCTGTTTCTTTTGGATTTTTAATTTTTTTCTGATGGCTTTGTTAGTTGAGTGGATGAAATTGTCAGTGAATCTATGAGATGATTATATGGCTTGAATCTGGTGGCATCTAGTGTCTTGCCAAGTGGTTTGTTGAAGTTTTAGAGAATAAGAAGTATTAAAGAACGAACCCATAGCCAATATCATACTGAAAGGGCAAAAACTGGAAGCATTCCCTTTGAAAACTGGCACAAAATAAGGATGCCCTCTCTCAACACTCATATTCAACATCGTATTAAAAGTTCTGGCCAAGGCAATCAGAAGAAGTAAAGGAAAAGAAATAGACGGTATTCAATGAGGAAAAGATGAATTCAACTTGTCTCTTTTTGCAGACGACGTTATTATATATTTAGAAGACCCCATAATCTCAGCCCAAAATCTCCTTAAGCTGATAAGCAACTTCAGCAAAGTCTCCAGATACAAAATCAATGTGGAAAAATCACAAGCATTCCTATACGCCAATAACAGAGAAAACAGAGCCAAATCATGAGTGAATCCCCATTCACAATAACTACAAAGAGAATAAAATACCTAGGAATACAACTAACAAGGTATGTGAAGGACCTCTTCAAGGAAAACTACAAACCACTGCTCAGGGAAATAAGAGAGGACACAAACAGATGGAAAAACAGTCCAGGCTCATGGTTAGGAAGAATCAATACTGTGAAAATGTCCATACTGCCCAAAGTAATTTATAGATTCAATGCTATCCCCAACAAGTTACCATTGACTTTCTTCACAGAATTGGGAAAAAAAACCATCTTAAGCTTCATATGGAACCAAAAAAGAACCTACCTACATAGTCAAGACACTCCTAAGCAAAAAAAAAAAAAACAAACAAAAAACTGGAGGCATTATGCTACCTAACTTCAAACTATACTACAAGTCTACAGTAATCAAAACAGCATGGTACTGGTACCAGAACAGAGATATAGACCAATGGAACAGAACAGAGGCCTCAGAAATGAAGCCACACATCTATAGCCATCTGATTTTTGACCAGCCTGACAAAAACAAGCAATGGGGAAAGGATTCCCTAATTAATAAATGGTGTTGGGAAAACTGGCTACCCATAGACAGAAAGCTGAAACTGAATCTCTTCCTTAAAACTTATACAAAAATTAACTCCATATGGATTAAAAATGTAAACATAAGACCTAACACCCTAAAATCCCTCAAAGAAAACCTAGGCAATACCATTCAGGACATAGGCATGGGCAAGGGCTTCATGACTAAAACACCAAAAGCAAGGGCAACTAAAGCCAAAATTGACAAATGTGATCTAATTAAACTTAAGAGCTTCTGCACAGCAAAAAAACAAACAAAAAACTATCATTAGAGTAAACTGACAACCAACAAAATGGGAAAAAATTTTTGCAGTCTACCGATCTGACAAAGGGCTAATATCCAGAATCTACAAAGAACTTAAACCAATTTACAAGGAAAAAAAAAAAAATCAAAAAAGTGGACAAAGGATATGAACCGACACTTTTCAAAAGAACATTTATGCGACCAAAAAACATGAAAAAAAGCTCAGCATCGCTGGTCAGTAGAGAAATACAAATCAAAAGCATAATGAGGTACCATCTCATGCCAGTTAGAATGGCGATCATTAAAAAGTCAGAAGACAACAGATGCTGGAGAGGCTGTGAAGAAATAGGAATGATTTTATACTGCTGGTGGGAGTGTAAATTAGTTCAACCATTGTAGAAGACAGTGTGGTGATTCCTCAAGGATCTAGAAATAGAAATCCCATTTGACCCAGCAATCTCATTACTGGGTACATACCCAAAGGATTATAAATCATAGTATTATAAAGACACGTGGACACTATGTTCATTGCAGCACTGTTTACAATAGCAACAACTTGGAACCAACCCACTGCCCATCTATGATAGACTGGGTAAAGAAAATGTGGCACATATACACCATGAAATACTATGCAGCCATAAAAAAGGATGAGTTAATGTCCTTTGCAGGGACATGGATAAAGCTGAAAACCATCATTCTCAGCAAACTGACATAAGAACTAAAAAACACTGCATGTTCTCATAAGTGGCTGTTGAACAATGGGAACACATGGACACAGGGAAGGGAACATCACACACTGGGGCCTGTTGGGGGGTTGGGGGCTAGGGTAGGGTTAGCAGGAGGTGGAGAGATTGGGGAGGGATAGCATTGGGAGAAGTAAGTGTGGATGATAGGGTGATGGATGCAGCAAACCACCATGGCACATGTGCACCTATGTAACAAACCTGCAGGTTCTGCACATGTACCCCACAACTTTAAAAAAGAATCAAATATTCCTCCACAGATTAAGCTTTATTTAAACTCTGATTTTATAAAAGAAAAATATATGTTTAAATTTATGTTTATAAAGACTATAGCTTTTATCTAACTGTTCTAAGTAGTTCATTTTAATGAAATACATGGATTTTTTTTTTTTTTCCCAGAACAAGACTTAAAAATAACATCAGAGGGAGAACAAGAAAAGCTTCAAGAATGTGAAAATATCCAGCAACAGGTATGTAAAACTTTAATTTAAATTTCTGGTTTTCTTTGCTTTCATAACATAGCATATTTCAAATGAAATTACCTTTGGACTGTCCTTCTAGAATCAGTTGAATATAATATTTAATTTTAAACCATTTTAACTGATTATAAATCTTAAAATATTCTCAGAATGCATAGTGATTTACAGCTAATCTTTTCCCTTCAAAATGAAGCCCAAAGTACCTGAATATTGTTTACTGTTCCTTTTTTGTAACCTCCTAATAAAGAAACATCAAATATTGACTTATAATTTCAAGCAATCAAAATTATGAACAATTCAATAGGGATGGCTGCCGACTTGGGTTCATGTTAAACGAGTAATCTTTACTGATGGTTCAAAATTTGCAACTTTATATTACTAGTCACTAATCCCATGATTAAAAATGTATTCTCCATTGTGATTTTTAATTGACTGCAGCATCTATGTTCAAGGAGAGAATAGGGTCATAAACTCAACCCAACTGCCTATCAAGAGAACCAGACTGCAGAATGGAAGCTTTGGTGTTAGGGAACAAACAGTAACTTTCTAACTTATTTCAATATAGGAAATTTGTAACTCTTGTCAAAAAATTTTTAATCCACTGGCATTAGTGGACTTTAGAATATATTGAAACTTAGCACTATAGCCTGTATAGAATAGCTACATAACACTATCATATTACAGTATATAATTTGAATTTAATTGTAAGAATTTGGCTTTGTTTCTGATTAGTGTTGATTTTGATTTCTATTAATTTAAAATTTGCCTACTCACCAATTAGTAATCTTTGGGAAAAAAGCACTCAGGTGTGCACTGTTCAGTATCACTATGTCAGGTACAGTGAGATAAAATCTTAAGATGCCTTTGTGATACTGCCAATCATCTTTTAATTCATTTTTGTTAAATTAAACACTTTATGAATTAATCTTAGTCCAAACACACAGTTACAACGTTAAGATTGATGGTTTATATTTTCCCCTATTTTAGGCTAATGCAAATATTTTTAACTTATTAATTACAATCCAATAATTGGGAGTAGATACAGAGTAAGAAGTTTAACAGTTAAATTTTTATTTTTAATTTTTACTTTTTCCATACTTTATTACTTATTGGCAAAGTTGTCTTTAAAACATGCACCCTGTTAGAAAAGACATCTGACAAACAAAAACTAGCAAATTAATCTTCCACTTTTGCATCTTCAAAAAATGTATCAACAAACAGAAGTGAACACGTACTGTAATAGAGTGCATATAACTGTATATACAGGAGTCCTTTGTGTGCAAAATAGGAGAAAATGTGGATCAAGCAAGGCAAATGAGGGTGGAAAAAACTTTAAAACTCATCACAATTGAGTTAAAGCAGAGTTTGAATGAAATTTGTGAAGAATCCAAAACTTCTGATTGTTTGGAGGAAGAGTCAATACATGAAGAAGAAACATAAAGAACATACCCTCTAATGTGACAAAAAATATATGTGATTGTCAGGAAAAAATGCATCTGGGGTAGTCATATGTATAGTATTCCAGTTATTTTTTGAACAAAAATAGTTCAGTCTCATAAATGTCATTCCATTTCAGTTCTATTCTGGGTCCTCAGAATATCCTTGCCAGTCATCTTCTGATTTTTATTTAAATGTAAATAAAATATGCTGTGAAAATAATAGCAAACCAATGCCGAACATGTTTTTAACATAGACCAGTAGAATTTTTATAATGACCCAGAAAGTACAAAAAGCAAAGAACCCAGAAGTAGTTATCATTGGAAAAAAAAGAAGACCAAGAGTGTTATAGGCACAGGCTGAAAAAATAATGAAAATAACACTAATTGCAAATTGGACATCAGATATGTGCCTCAGTATTGTGATCCAAAAAGCTTTTAGATTTGTGGCTTACCTCCTACAGAGAAATGAAACATGTAAATAAACAAAAAGCCATGGTGTTTCTGTTGCTACAGACATTTGTAAGAATACAAAACCAATACAGAACTGGTTACAGAAACCATTGTATCATAATTGTAGTGCAAAAGCTATAAGAGAATACAACTTGGATTAGAAAATGTGCATTCCTCATAAGTGAAGGAAAAATAAAATCCTTTGTGAACATGCAAGTACTCAGAGATTTCGTCACCAGCAGGCCAGCTTTACAAGAGATCCTGAAAGAAGCTCTACACATATAAAGGAACAACCAGTACCAGCCACTCCAAAAACATGCCAAATGGTAGAGAGAATCAACACAATGAACAATCTGCATCAAATAATGGGCAAAACAGCCAGCTAGCACCAAAATGGCAGTATGAAATTCACACGTAACAATATTAACTCTAAATGTAAATGGACTAAATGCCCCAATCAAAAGACACAGACTAGCAAACTGGATAAAAAGCCAATACCCATCGGTGTGCTGTATTCAGGAAACCCATCTCACATACAAGGATACACAAAGGCTCAAAATAAAGAAATGGAGGAAATTTACCTAGCAAATGGAGAGCAAAAAAAAGCAGGAGTTGCAATTCTCATCTCTGATAAATTAGACTTTAAAGCAACAAAGATCAAAAGAGACAAAGAAGGACATTACATAATGGTAAAAGGATCAATGCAACAAGAAGAGCTAACGATCCTAAATATATATGCACCCAATACAGGAGCACCCAGATATATAAGGCAACTTCTTAATGACTTACAAAGAGACTTAGACTCTCACACAATTGTAGTAGGAGACTTTAACACCCCATTGTCAATATTAGACAGATCAACCAGACAGAAAATTAACAAGGATATCCAGGACTTGAACTCAGACCTGGACCAAGCAAACCT